TCCTTCAAGGTTTGATGTTCCTTCAAGGTTTGATGTTCCTTCAAGGTTTGATGTTCCTTCAAGGTTTGATGTTCCTTCAAGGTTTGATGTTCCTTAAAGGTTTGATGATGATATTTCTTCAAGATTCGATAATGCTGCTGCTTCAGAATTGATGACGTTGCTGTTTTAAGATTCGATGATAATGTTGCTTCAAGATTTGATAATGATGTTGCTTCAAGGTTTACTGATGATGCTACTTCAGAATTATTATATTGAGATAACTCATCAATTTTATCTTCGGATTATTATTTTTGAATTTCGTTAGAATTTTTTTAAAAGTTAAGATTTTAGTTATCAATATTGTTATTAATAATTTCATCATAATTGATTTCTTTATCAATTTTACCTTCACAAAAACACTGGTCATGATCGATCATACATCCCCAATGAAAAATATGTTTGCATGTTAAAATAATAATTGGTTCATTCATTTGTGGCGAAATATCTTCATTACAAATTCTACAAATATCAATACTTTGAAATTCTGCAGGAATTTTTTCTGGTTCATCATAAAAAGCTAATTTAAATGCGAATTTTTTTTAAATGTTCCATACAATAAAAAAAATATTTGAAATTTTCTTTTTATTACTTTTTGCAAAATTTTGTGATCTAATTATTTTTATATTATGATGTAAATTAGAAATTGTTTATAATTACTAATTTTTTAGAGTATAATGATAGTAATAGTATACTCAGTGATTTTATCCTATCATTATTGTTGTGGTGATTAATTTATTATCGTTTAGATAACATAATTTTGCTCAACGGAATTAGGTTAAATGTAATGCACTTGCGGCTCTTCAAAGCTTGTACCCGAATTAACTCCTAACCCCTTTATCTTGTAACAACTCCAACCCTTATTCCAATCAGATGCCACTACATTACTGGTTAGGCTTCGATATTTATTCAAGGTCAAGTAGAAGTGGAAGTTCGATTTTCAAATTAGTAATTGCAAATGATTCTAATTTACGTCATGATTTAAAAAAAATAGTATGGTGCAGATTATCATTCGAATAATTAAATTAAAATTATAATCTGAATCAAGGATGCCAACATGATGGTACATTCGGTCCTGACACAATTAAAAGATGGTAAGTTTCGTTAATTTAATTAATTATGACTTAATATAAACTTATTTGTTTTCTTTCAGGCTAAATGTTTTTTTATTTTTCTCTTTAGTGGCGGCAACTATTGCCATTCTCAATGGGGTTATTGTGGTAATACACCTTGTATGTTTCTTAATTATTTTTATATTTTCTGGTTTAAATTCTAAAATTCTTTTAATACCCTTTCCTATTAGATTTTTGTGACCCAAATCAAGGATGTCAAAGTGGATATAGTTTTTATGGCCTTTCAAATAACCATAATACTGATGATGGCATACCACTTGCCAAAATCCTTATACCCTAGCGTTAACTTTTGATGATGGTCCACGTTCTGTATGAAATTTTAAATTTTAATAATTTAATTTCAAAATCCGTTTATTTATTTAAATTTCTTTTTAGTGGACGAATAACTTGCTCGATAAACTAGATGAATATGGCATAAAAACTACATTCTCTGTCAATGGTCACAACGATGATGCATATTGTATTTACGATTTCGCTGAAATTTTATTAGCTTGATAGTGATTAGAGTGGCCAACTCACTGTGAATTGTTAAATTGTAAATAGCAAATTAGAATATCTTATAGTGTATACAAATCATAACTTTGCAATCTTCAGGTCACTTAATCGCCCATCACATATGGTCTCACCATACTTGACAGGTGTCAGTGCTGATGAAGCAAATTATCAAATGGAATTCTTAAATGAGGCATTTAAGAAAATTCTCGGTGTTACTCTAAAATATTTCCGGTCATCGTACGGTGATGGCGTTAATAATGCTAACGTAAGATCTGCTATGTTAGCAAACGGAATGGATGAATTGGTAATTTGGATGTGGATACTGAAGATTCTATTGACGGAGCCACTGAATCAAAAAGCGATGAAAATTTTTCTAATGGGATTAATGATCAACAGCTCCATATCGTATTAAGTCATGATAGGATTTAAATTACATGTGATCAATTGGCACCTTTTGAGATTTCTCAAGCAATTGACAATGGGTATTGGTTTGATACGGTGGCAGGGTGTAATGGAGATTGGGACTCAAGTAATTGGTATAATATTGATACCGGTTATTTTGGCACGAGGGACGAACTTGGAATATTAAATCGATTAAATTTTGCTATCTAAACTGAATTAATTGATTTCAAACTTGTTCGAAAAATTTCTAGTTATAGATAAATTAGATTTGATTAAATTGAATAAAAATAAATTAATCAGGCTGCTAAATAACATGTATTTGAAGTAACATTCTAAGTCAGTGTTGGATAATCATTTACTGGATACACAAATATGTTATTATATATTCTATCATATAACATATATGACTGTCATTTGTAATCTGTAATATGAATGCTGCAGGCAAAAAACGGATACTTAATTAAAAGTAAATACGTTATTAGATTTTGAGTAAAAATTATTTGTTAAGCCCGTCATTAAGTGACATCTAGCATCATGCATGACAAATAATGTAGAGAATACATATTATTTATATAATCAAATACATGTGGGTTTAATTTTATTATATAAAATATTGGATCACACCGGATACTGTGTGAAACGCTGTGTGGTAGGTATACCAACGTTATACCCGATATTGCAAATTTATTTGCCAATCTAGGTAGTAAAATCTCACTGGGTGTTAAATAGATAAATTACTTTTAATATAATTATCTTAAAATTATTATTTTTAAAATATGCATTCAATAAATATTTTAACAAATATTTTTGTCAAATTATTAGCCAGTAAGTATTATATTTATTTTAAAACTGTTATTGGTGATCTTACAATATGCTATCCGCAAACTTTTAATGCACTTTTTTTTTGTTGAATTGTTAGCCAGTAAGTATAAACTATATTATATTTGTTATAAAATTACTATTGACGATTTTAAAATATACATTTTAACAAATTCTTCTGTCAACTTATTAGCCCGTAAGCATAAGCTATACTATTATATATTTAAAATTCACTGATAAATATTTTAACAGATGTCTATTAAATTTTTAGCAAGTATGTATAGATTTTATTACGTTGTTTTAAATTTTTATTTGATCTTAATTCATGTTATCTATAAATTTATAACCATATTTTCTTTTATTGAATTATCAGCGGGTAAATATAAACTTTATTTTGTATTTGCCTTTAAAATTTTATTTGATTTTAATATAAATTTATAATGCACATCTTCTTTTATTGAATTATTAGGGCGTAAGTATAAGCTTTAGTATATTTATTTTTAAATTTTCATTTTATAATTTTTAATTATATATTTATAACTTTATAATATCTATTTCCTATTGGATTATTAGCGAGTAAGTGTATGCTTCATTATATTTGTTTTAAATTTTTATTTGATAATTTTTAAATTACATTATTAATAATTTATAAATTATATTTTCTTCTGTCAAATTTTTAGCTGGTGTGCATAACTTCATTATATGTTTTTAAGTTTTTATTTGATTTTAAATTTTGTTACGTGCTATTATAACTTTATAATGCGTATTTTTTTGCTAATTTATTAGCTTGTAAGTAGTGTTAGGCAGGCGAAACTTAGAGGTTTCGCCACAGACGAAAGGCGAAACCTAGTTTCGACTTTCGCCAAAAAAAAAATTAAAATGCCGAAATGGCGAAAGGTGCCGAAACTGGTGAAACTGTGGCGTAACTAAAAAAAGAATAAAAGGATAAATAAAGATAATTAAAATTTTTTTATATAATAAATATTTTTATTTCTATATATATATATAATATTATTTATCCTTCTTAATACTGATTATATTACGTATACTTATAATGCATATTAATTTACTTAAGAATTACAGTACTAGCCGTTATGTAATAATTATTAATAATTTGCTTTACAAGAGTTGATTACCCAAAGTGTCGGATTTTTTTTTGATTGCGTTAAGGTGAGGGTTTTCAGGACCATAAATACCAGAACAGGTTTGAGTAACAGAGTTGGTTTGAATATCTGATAATGGGGTATAGGTTTGAAAATCAGGATTCGTCTTGAAAAAAAAATTTAATATATATACTGTAAAGCATTAAAAAAAAACCCCCCAAAATTTTGACATATTTGCAATACCAGGTCTTTATTATCTTGATTACTTAGTTCAATACTTGTTCGTTTGGGCTAGTCTAAGTAAAAATATTT